ATGTAACTCTATGGAATATTATGATGTCACTGTAGAAAAAAAAAATCCTCCAGCGTTTGCCAGAAAAAAAGATTTAAAGGACTTATCTTGTGATATACTTGGACTTTACCAAACTTCATCTTTCTCCCACAGTTTGTTATGATAGCCATCTAATGGATTTCAACGAGGAGCCAAGAGGACTGTTTATCGACATGCAAGAAGAGGTTTTGTGAAATGTGGAAGGGGTCTTATGACAAATATGAGGCAACACAACATGACTGAACAAAGTTTGCTTGGTTATTCGTAGCATCTGTTTGTTTCCTTGTTTGCAATCTTTATTTTAGGAAATGTAAACATTAAAGAAGGCCTGACCAATTTAACATTAAAATCCACTTTGTCTTTCAAGAGATAAAACAAATAATAGCATAAATCAAATCAACTATAAATACTTAAGGACATCTCATCCAGATATTTCTGCATAGAGCCAGAAACCCCCTCTGGGTCAGGAAAAGTGGGCAATGCTTTTTGCACGCTATTTTAACAAAGCTAAGCATGTCTGCAAAATATAACTGCTGCCTTCAATAGTAGTAGGCTACTTACAAATGCTGCTCTGAGAAACATGCACATGCTCATGTTTCCTTCTTTTAAGGAGATATTACTCGGTCACGCTCATTTCTGCAAACGAAAACTGTATCGAGAGCCTGACCTCCCCAACCCCCTGCCCTAACCGTAACCCGCCCAGCCTTTAAAGACCAAAGAATAATCAATGCAGCTTCACAAAGACACACACCATCTCCTTCTGCTTCCCTAACAGATGGGAACAATGCTGCAGAAAGAGGAAGAAGCAACATTCCTGCTGTTTATCTAGTCATCTGATCTGGCCAGCGAGTCATGTGTCGAAGCCGAGTTAGAGGCTTGGCAGGACGCTTTGGGCCAACTTTGGCCAGACTCAAGTATTCTGTAATGTTTTCAGCATCTGAGCCTGCTTTTTTAACGGAGCTCACTCCATTATATGAATGGTATGTTCCTAAAATAACCATTTACATAAATTTGTCAGAAATATGTCCTAATTTTCAGACTAAAATTTAGACAATAAAATAAAAAAAGGCTATAAATCTGCTGACTTCAATAATAATTGCTAGTGTTTTGTAAAATCTCCATATCCCTCGCAGTGTATTAATAGCGATCCAGGAGAAGAAGATGGTAGAAAGTTTTGCATTTTGGAGCGAAGGTCAGCAGTTTAATTGGAAGTGCAAATTACGTTCACATGTAATCCCAAAGTGGATTGAGCCATGGGTAAAGTGAATGTGCTCATCCAGAGAGTGTGCGCATTTAGCAAAAGGCAAGGGAGGAGTCCCAACGTATATTTAGACCTGCACGTGTAGTCAAGCCTCGTCTTTCATTACAAACGCCTTGTTTTTGCTCCTCAAAGTCTTTTTCAGTCACACCAGGCTCCTTCAGCAGTTGGTGATTCAGCTAAACGGCCAGGGTTTTTTGTGAGAAAAAGAGTAAATATTAATTTGGTGACTGTGGCTCCCCATCTGTTGATTTATCTGTGAGCATTCCCTCCTCTGCTTTTATTTTGTATTTCTCTTTCTCCCCTTTTTTCCCCCGAGTATGCTGAAGGCTGAGAGTCTGCAAAGACTATCATGTCATTGTATTCCCCCCTGCAGGCACAAGCTTTTATCATTGATCTCTGGCTCAGTCTCTGAGTTGCAAACAGTGATGCTGCATATCTTCTAATCTACAACATCTGAACTACTCAGGGTTGAAGCTAGATTTGATGCAGAGGCTGCTAAGTGGAGCTGAATTGAGTGGGTTATCGGTGCAAAAAGCAGGGGGTGAAACTGAACCTTTTAGGTGTGTCACGGGCCAGTGGAACTAAGCATCCATGATTACACAGCGTCTGTATCTTAGATACTTGTCAGTTTGAGTTCACAAGCCAAATGACCCATAAGTTATGCCTGATATTTCATAGCATGGGAAAAGAAAAATGTATTCCTGTTGCAGCAGTTTTAATAGCCATGTTGAACACAATAAATTTTGTATTGTATAACAAACTAGAAAATGAGACTATAATAGTTCAGTATTATTGAAATTATAATTCGATAACTGTATGTAATTTCCAAATAATACTTATCTATGGGTTTTTGACAGGCTTTCAAAACAAGCTGCATAATAAGACACATTTTCTTTATCCAACTGTTTGCTGCCTGCTAGTCCCCCTAAGTGACGCTCACCATCGCATTTTCTGCCAATGTCAAGGTCTGGAAATGTATCTGCAGGCAGGACAGAGTTCCAGGGTGTTGAATCTATGCAAATATTTGCAGTACAAGATTAGGAGTGTTGACTCTGTTGCGAGTCCAGACATCACTAATGCAACACTGCAGCTGCTTCAGATAGCACTGGCATCCTAACCATTCAGGAGGTCCTGAACATGTCTGGTTTAATATGAAAGCCTGACCTTCATTCCATTAATCTGATTGGGCTTTTCCTTGCAGAGGACAATCATTTTCAGTGGATTTAAATGTATAAAAGGAAAAACGTGTAGGAGTGTTTTTTGTTGTTGTTGTTTGTTCTTATAGATTTGTTTTTTGTCTCTAACAGAAAAATTAGGATTTAATTGGTCCCCCCTTAAGCTTTACTTGGTTTTTGTTATTGTCAGAAAAGTGAACACAATTATATACTGTTGGTAGAAAAAAAAAATCCTCCAGCGTTTGCCAGAAAAAAAGATTTAGAGGACTTATCTTGTGATATACTTGGACTTTTTGTTATTGTCAGAAAAGTGAACACAATTATATACTGTTGGTTTGTCTGTTTGCAGACTAAGGTGGAGGGAGTTTAGATAAACTGAAAGTTTTGGAAAAACAATTCTTGTCAGAGACAATCCAGGAAAAAGAAATTAGTTCTTTAAACTATTGATTTCTCCTCTTTCATTAGAAGAAAGAAAATATTTAAATGGTGAAAAGTTAAATTCATTTTTTTGTTTTAAAACAACCAGTCATTCATTACATCACATCCATCCTCCAATCAATTTAAACTCATGCAAACTTGATGTTACACTGCTTGAATTCAATTTAAACAAATTATTTTTGTTTGATCTTATTCTTGAATATTGTTAGTGGACAAAGATGTTTTTGTTTTAATACGGTATAGCTAAGATGCAATTTTAAGATTCGTAATATAGTTTATCATTGTTATTGAAATATACCCCCATACAGCTAAAGTAGCTCCTAAAAAGTCTGACTGCTTAAAGTCTGCTAATGTTTGTCCTTCTTGGGACTTGTCTTCATTTTATAGTGCATTACTGGTCTAGAGTACACTTTAATACCAGCTGTTAGAGGGAAAATGATTCTAGGTACATGCATGTGAAATTGATTGCATCCCCAGTATAAAGCAGAGCTGCATTAAACATTGGAGGCTATACAGTGGGTTGAAATATCCACTGCGTCTTCAGCTACATGTCTAAGATCAAGCATTAAACAGAAAACCTAAAACTGGGAGTTTGTAATAGCGAAGTACATACATGTAAGTAAAAATGGCTTTGTTTTATCCAACTACCCCTGTGGCCACTTTCACCTTCCATAAATACATTTGTAACACTGTTTGCTAAAAAGGGAAATGTCTGTTTGATTCATCTGCCAGCCAATACATTGATCCACCTCCAGAGAAAAGTTGTTTTTTTAAAGAATTCTCTTATGCACCAATTCCCCGTATTCATTGCCTCTTTATAGCAACAGTTCACTTCCTTTTTGAACCCAATCCAATTTCCCCCCCACTTTGAATAAAATAAACACAAGGCATGCAGCAATTAATCAGAAATAGCACTCATGCTACACACCATTAATGTAGATTACATCATTAATTCCAAACACATTATAGAGAGCATCTCAACTTCAGCGCGCCAAGCTTGGCACGGGGGAGCATACAGATGCATACAGCAGTAACAGCACTCATGCAACCTACTAATCAGTGAGTAATGTCTGGCAGTGGATCAGCAAATGCTGCACCTCTCACTCACATGAATGAGACTGTGAAAAATCAGCTTTGTTGCTTTTCTCATTCTGTGGAAATGTAATGAACTGTCTGTTGTCTGCAATGCTGAAGAGCAAAAACCATGAGAAGTACTTAATAGGGCCCCCCATTTTTCATCTTTAAACGTGTTCTGTCGGGCAATTTCAGCGATAGTATATGAAGCAGGTTGTCTACATGTGCCAAGGAAGTTTTCTACTCTACAGCAAGGATTTGTTAAGACCAAACTGCATGAATAACTTCACTGAATCCAGATAAGATTTAATCAATTGGTAGGCCTTCAATTTTTGGGAGGTCACTGTATGCTGGTGAGTGGATTTAGGGGGAAAATATATATTAGCATACCTGAAGGTGTATGTTTGCGATTGCAGCTAGGATGTAAATCTAGCATCTTGACACCAGCCAAACCGCCAACACCAAACAAAGAGAGCAGAAACTGGACATATGTAAATGTATATTAATGAGGTTTTAAACAATAAAGACTTATGTGAAAATGTAACTCTGGGAATATTCATAAGATTATAATAGAGTTCATAGGTTTGATATTTATATACAGGGGGAAAATAACCATCTGATCATTTCTAGTAACTACGACTGAAACAATCGGATTAATCGTGATTAATCAACTGTTGAAATAATTGTCAACTAATTTATTAATCGATTAATTGTTAACTAGAGGGAGTCTAAAACATGCCTTCAGCTGACAGAACAACCCACTTAGAGCAGCAGTTATACCACAATTATAAAAAAATATATAAACATTTTGTATTTAAATAAAAAAATGTATATTTTTGTTTCTCAATATGCTCTTTCCAGAACATCTTAAGTCGAAACATTTTGTTTCACCTGGTTCAATTCTGTGAAAAAGTCTTCTTCAAGGAACCTTTTGCTGTCCGATTATTAATCGATTAATAAAAAAAAAAAACTGACTATTAGATTAGATTAATCGGTTATTAGATTAATCGGTTTGCACTAATACAAGAACTCACCAGTTCAGCATCAATAATCTTCAGCGGAAGAGGTTCATGTCTCAGCCTGTAAGAGAAAAAAGAAATGGACTCAGTTTGTGGACTTATCTGGAAATGGCTCAAAACCACACCAGGCAATGGTAGATGGATGAGATCCTAGTGTTATTCCTAGCCAAAGAAAACACAAAGGGCAGACACAACAGACTTTGTGTGCTGTAATTCAACATGTTTTTAACATACTACTCCAACAGTGAGTAGTGGAAGTCAGTTGGTGTTCCAGGCTGCTCGTCTGCCGGCCTTTTAGTCCATCTGGCAGTCAGAGCTTCCACATTCACAGATCATTTGGTGAGGTTTTGAAACATCCATAAGGACAACTGGCAAATTTCTCAAGCTTCTGATAAGAAAAAAAACGAAACTGGGGATGATTTATACTGGATTTCTGCCACTGAACAATATTCTTCCTAAAATTTCACACTTACTATGGAGTGGAACCGATATTCATAGAGACACAATGACACTTTAATGCAACAGACTGAATCCCTGTCATAATTATGAAAACTCCCTCATGGAAAAAAAACTGTATACTTTCTTTCACATGCCCACCTTATAAGAATAATCCATAAATTCTCAATAGATTTAAGGTCAAACTATTCCAGAAGCAAACTCTGCCTATTCTTAACCAGTTTTCGATGTCTGTTGAGAGACATTATCCTGTTGGAACGTCCAATTCTGTCCATGTTTTAGCCACACAGCTGATTTAAGCAGAGGAAGTCTTTATTTTTCCTTCCAGTGTAGGCAATGCAACTGTACCACTGGTAGCAAAACAGACTTCATCATGTTGCTCCACCATAATGCCCGATTGCTGTTACAGTTATCCTAAATGTAAAAGACTTACATACCTTCAGCCCTATTTTCTGTCTCTGTTTCCAAATTGTTTAATCTTTGTTTTTTTTCTTTAGAAGATATAAGTCTAGTCCATATGGGTGGCTAAAAAATTCAGCAATTTTAAGTTTCCTCCAGCTCAGCACGCTCTCCTGTTCAGGTCCGTCTCAGATTTGAGTCACTTTAAACAGAGACTCTGGTGTTGGAGATTTATTTCTACCCCAATGGATGACTTAATCTTTGATCCAATGGTTCCAAACCTTCATTAACAATTATCTTTTATGGCCAAATCTAATAAGACAATGTTGTGTATGACGAAACACTTCTCAGCATAACTACATTTAAATCAAAATTATTTGTATAGGAATTATTATACATAATCGTTCATTCTAACCCAATCATATAAATGCAAATAAAGAAAACAAGATGAGATCAAACTTAATATACTGAAGGATAAATTAAAATAAAAAACAATGCAAATCGTCAAAGGTTTTGACTCAGCCTTTCAGCTCATAAAAGAAGCAGTTAGACATAAAACCAAGGGGAGGAAATGAGCAATAGAGCAAAGTACTGTAAAGTAAACCACCATGAAGTGGAATTCAATTTCAGAGCTACCAGTAAAAAAAGAAAAACCCTTTCCAAACAGATCAATAAAATGTTGGCAAGCTTACCATAGTATAACCACAGAGAACATGATTTCTTATCTTTTATGGAGCATATTCTCTGAGCCCATTTTAAAACAAGATCTTTCAAATATTTTATTCAAAATGCAACAAAACCATTTACTTTAGAAAAGACTAAATTTGAAATGTTTCATTTCTTTCTTGTTTTTTATTTGTCGTCTTACTTTCAATAAGTAAATCGCAACTCTAGGTTATACTGTATGGCTTACAGCGAGCCAGACAATAAGCAACAAAAATATGATTGGCTCAGTAGAGATGGAAACAACCAAACTGCAATAATTGTTCAATCTCTACTGCTGTAAATTAGGTTAAAATGCATCCCAGCCTACTTGTTGCAATCCAATTTGATATATCTCTACCCTGATGTGCAGGGGTTATTGCTTTCTGTTTAGTGTACAGCTGCAAGACGTATATCTGTAATCCTGTTAGAAGGAAACTGACAAGAAGAAGAAACGGTCACGGCATTAAAATTGACCGAAAGGTGTCTGCTGAAAGATTGTGTTGCTAATAAAGAATATTATAAAGCATGCAACAGGAAATGAAATATGAAGAGGCACTGAAAAGAGGTTTAGCCAGAATTGGTCAATTTTATAGCTTGATCTGCCTTGAAGCTAACAAAGAGGAAGCTGTTACATGAAGAAGATTTAAAGTTTAGCTATAAGTGAGATATTAAAAAAGTAATTCAGAGGAACGAGAGATTTAATAATATATATATGAGGAAAGTATCTTCCCCATGTCAAACCAGTCTAAATAATTTGTGCAAGGAATGGTGGAGAGAGAGCAAGACTTTATTCAGATAACAGGAAGGCAAAATGGAGAAGTAAAATGTTGCTGTTTCATTATTTCTGAGTTTAAATCCTCTATCTGTCTGGAAATGCTAAATTAAGAGTTTTGCAAATGCCACAATTAAAGTAAAACTACATATATCTGGAGAACACACACAGATATATATTTTAAAGTCAGATGCTCTAAGAATAATACTTGCTTATTTTTACAATAGGCGATTTTTTTTTCTTAACTACAAGCATTCCATTTCAGAGTTTCAGTATTTTAATCTCTTTGAAAACCTGCTTGCCGAGAGTCCATTGTTGCAGGATTTTACTGTAACTTTTGCGAGTCTGTTTGCATGTCTGCATTTGTGGGACCAAAATTGGGTTGCTCTACAATTTGAAAATTGCATTTTTTTTTAACTGCGATTATATTGCAGCTGCAGTTAATTAATTGCCCAGCCTTAATTGATTAGATTATAATCAATCAGCCCTCACAACACCAAGTCTAGAACCCATACAAAGACACACACGTTATATATATATATGATATAAACATATATGTTTGATATATATACATATATATATCTATCTATCTATATATATATATATATATATATATATATATATATATATATATATATATATATATATATATATATATATATAGATATAGATATATCAATGCAATGCCCTCTGCACAATTAATGAAAACAATAAAACATGAACGCCCTCAGCGAGCTTTTAAGCTTCTTAGTCCACCTTTATTTATCAAAATGCCTCTCAGTCTGGCTTTAAGCCACAGGCAAGGGATTGGTATTGTGTGTGAGAGCGTAATGTTTGCCTCTGTAATCACCAGTGAAACGTTCATGTGGCAAAGTCAATATCTCCGAGAACAATTTGTTTTTCCTTCACATAATCATGCCAGACTAGCACAGGTAGAGGAAGATGCACAGGGTTTTTGTAGGACGGCAAATGGGAGGCCGTTTTCAATTTTACAATAACGGCTGCTGACACGCTCTGCGCTACTTGATTAAAAGCTTGTTTCCGAAAACGACATTTACGACACTCTGTAACGCACCTGTGAGCTGCAGTTTACGAGCAGAGAATCTGGTTCCTCTGCAAATATGGCTTATGTCTCATAATATATAGATGGACACAGCAAATTGGACAGAACATGTGGAGTATTGCTTGAGCTGCCCTCGGAGCTCATTTATTAGTTAATTTTAGGAGCTGCCAAGCCAAGTCAAAGTGACACAGTATGCTCTATTTGCAGAGCAAATAGACAAATGGAGTTACCAGATACTCATTCCTGGACAAACAGGACTGTACTTTAAGCATAAAGCTAGTTGTCCAAAGTAGAATCCTGTTTATTGACTCTTTGTAAATAAAACAGTGGTAAATGTCGCCCTGGCATCATTACACACCAGGTAAGTACATCTTACTTTAACTAAAAATGTTACAGATATTTCAAACAATGAGCTTAAACCTAGGTTAGGCCATTAAAGATGATCCATTATCATTTAATTAAAGCTAGAGGAGTAGAGGCATGTGGTATGATGCTTAAATGGAAATAATACTATAGGACTAAAACTGTTACGATCAATGAATTGACAAAACAAATAAATCAGCAGTATATTTGCATTTTTCTGTGTTTATTTTCTTTGTTTATTTAAAAGCTAGATCAGAATCAGGCAGTCAGATCTCAACAAAATTGCTATCGGCCAGGAAAAGGCAGATCTCTATCCACCTCCATCACTAATAAAATCTTTTTCTTTTTTTTTTTTTAGCCAGACTGTGTCCAAATGTTTGAATTTTACATAAGTATGAAAAATGCAACTTCATAACAACTGGGAAACAGCATAACTCTTGGAAACTCTTGCAATCCAACCAGCCTTTTGCAAAGTGAATATTACACATGCATTTTTTTTTTTTGCAATGACAGTAGATGTTAATATTTTGAGTAGCATAAGTAAATATTTTTTAAACTGCCTCTCCATCACCTATTCCTGTGAAATGACTGTTAAGTGGGAAAAGAAGAAAAACAAAGGCTCTATAATTTTCACCGGCTTAAAGAAAAGAAAAGGCTTGTTACAGCCCTGGTCCAACTCCATATATAAAATTAATCTAACTATAACAGTATTATAATATATGCTTAGGAATTATAAATAATTTTCAGTTACATTTTTTGTGCATATATGTTTTATGTTGTTTTTCTTCCTCAAAGCATCCCTAAAATGAGATTGAATTTGAATGAATAATGAATTTATTGACATTTTATAAGGAGACTGATCTGGATCCTCTCTCTTTTAGGAAACATTTAAGCTGTTGGTCCTCAGCTTTAACATTTCACAGCAGTCTATAAACATACAATAACATATATTTAAAATAAAACGAACTTCATCTTTCCAGTTGCAGGAGAACAGCATGCATTCGGGGATGGATGCACAGCAGCTGCAGTCATTAAGCAGCCCTGGGACATCTTATGCAGGTGGTAATATTATCATTTAATCAAACTTCTGGCAGCAAACATCGAGAGGAAGCAAACCGTGACATCTATATGCTTGTAAATGGGAAAAGTGAGGCAGCTGTGTGTCGGTTAGTTGCCCCTGCCTGAGTGCACTGTGCTGTCCCGCTACAGCTAGCCTCTCTGGCTAGCCTCCCAGGCGCTGGAAACATCAATAAACCCCTGCCTTTCATTTCAATGTCAAGCCTCCGTCGTATTTACCCGACAGAGGAGCCAATTTCGACGATAGTAACTTCCCTATATTCGACACCTCCGCGCTAAATGTCCGTGTTGAAAGCGCCCGGCTAGCTGAGCGATGCTACAGTCTCCAGCGGTTAGTGTCACAGGAGTTAGGCAGGCGGAGGATGAGTGCCTCTGGATGAGGAGAGCTGGAGTGATGGACATCAACCGTCACGCATTTAAACTCAACACTCGACACAATAACTCCAAAATGTTGTAATAACAGCCATAAATGGATGATAGACAAGCTTTTTTTTTTTTTTTTCTTACGTGATTTGGGAGGCAGAGAGCGGTTTTAATCCGTCGGAGATAATGTTTGGCGGAGTCCTGCTGGGGATTTCTTTCTTTCTTTCTCTCCCCCTCCAGCTGCTGCTCTATCCCAGCAGTCTCTCCAGCCTGCCGGAGCGTCCCGGTGTTCTTGTAACACTCGCCCTCCAGTGGAGAACACTTTGATTAGGGGAGCCTCCTCTGATAGGCAGCGCGCTGCCCTCCCCTGCACCCACCGCAGACACCCAAAGACTGAATGAGAGTGCCTCTGTTTGATAGAAGAGTGAGTCATCCAGCAGAACCATACCCAGCTCCTCCTCCTGTTTCTAACAGCATGACTACTGTAGCCTCCATGCACTGATAAAACACAAACAGTGCCTCCCTTTATAAAGTCAGTAACAGGCTGCTTCATGAAGCCCCTCTAGATCACTAGAAATCCATTAACTTTTCAGCTTTATCATCTTTTTTAATATATTTTACTAATGTAAAACCTTGTTCCTTTGCTTTTTCAGAGTGAAACTCAAGTAACAAAGTACAAATACTTCATTACTTTTTAGGTATCTATATTTTACTCCAGAGGCCTTCAAAGTTTTCCAGGTCAAGGACCCCCAAACTGACGGCCTACTTATATATATTGTATGAAATTGTGTTATATCAAACTGGTCCTATAGTCGCTGTATTACATATGGAGTCATGTAACAAAAGTAATTTCACCCTGGGATTATTAAAGTATTTCTGATTCCTGGTTGATGGGACAGGTGTTGTGAATGAAACGGTGCCCAGCTTGAAAGAGCTCCTGTGTGTCGCTGAATGTGTGCATTGAAGACTGAACACCCTACAGTGTGTTGAAGTCATGTTAATGTGAAATTAAAGACATTTCAATTACTGAAAAAAAAAAAAAAATTGCAGGGGGGAATATGAAAAAAAAAAAGTCGAATCAACAAAAATTTTCGTGACCCCCATGCAGTACCTCTGTGGACTCCCTAGGGGTCACGGACCCCCTTTTGAAGACCTCCGCTTTACTTCGGACTTCTACTCATTACATTTTCACACAAGTATGTGTACTTTCTATTCCTTACATTTTTAAAACATACATTACTTGTTGCTCTAGGCTTCGGATTTATGTTTATAAATATTTATTTATAAACATAAAACCGCAATCCAATGCAGATTATTGGTGCCATCCACATCTAGTGAAAACTATTGTAATTGGATCTAGTGAAAACTATTGTAATTGGATGAGTCATATAACCCAAACACTCATTGGTTAGCTAAAGGAAATCATCAGAAGCAAGCAGGTGTTCTTCAACCTACAAACGTGCCATGCTACAATGTTGGATTCAGAAAAAGATGTTGAAATGTCTGAAAGGTTGGACACAGGTGAGAGCATATCAGGAGATGAAGACCACCAAGTCCTCCCTCATCCTTGGCCCTATCTCAAAGAGTTTTTCAAAATAGTCGAAACATTGGGCTTTTAGTTCATATAGTGGCATCTGGCTGTTTTTTTTAAAGGTTACTTCACTTTTATACTTTAAGTAGTTTTTGGAGAACATACTTTTTCACTTTTACTTGAGTAAAGAGGTCAAGTTGATACTTTAACTTTTACCAGAGTGTTTTTAAACTGCAGTATCTATACTTCTACTTAAGTAACAAATGTGTGTGCTTTTGACACCACTGAACAAAACTATATTCCTTTAAGAAAAAAAATACAAAAGCTTTAAAATCATTTTTCCCCCAATCAAAGACATTATCCATAGAATATTCTAATTTTCTTCCACAAGATTAGGTGAAAGGGGTATGATAGGAAACCCTCCATCTTACTCTGTGTGGTAATAAAGTAAGCCTAACTAGAAAGTATGTATACATTTGCAGAAGTTTTGATGTTGGAGATTTAGAGTAAAAATACTGCAGCAATTACCAAGCATGATGGTGGTAGCTTCCTAATTAGGGGCTTTTTGTTTTGCAACCAGTAGTACAGTACAGTACTGGCACAATGACTTAGACAACTTTTATTGTCATTTTGTATACACAAAGTGTAAACAAAACAGAATTTCAATATGTACAGCTCTCATGACATTTCCATCTCTTAAAGAGCAGCAGTGATCAAATGTAAACAGTGTGGGAGAAAATTAAATGCATGTGGTGCAATTTTTCAGTGTTTTGATTTGGTGAAATAAGTTTGATGCAGAGTCTGTGACACTGCGTAGAGCTGATGAATTCATGAATTAGGACAATATAAAAATTACTCAACATAACCTTAAATCCTTAACTCTACCACTGGTTTAATGATCCCAAACATATAAATCACAACTAGTCTGGAATGGATACAGTTTGTCAAGACTAAACTTTATTAAAACCTCAGCCCAGTTCCAAACTTAATGGCAATGGTAAAAAGAAAGGTCATTATCGGAAAACACATTAATTAAAACAAACTCAATGTATTAGGAAGAAGGGTTCACTATCTAGACAGAGACATGTGCAGAGCTTGTTGATGACAATGCAAGTCTGTTGTTTCTCTGCTACTTGCTCATCCAAATTTCACATCTTTGGATGATTGTTTGAATATTATATGTGTATATTCTTTTATCAACTGCTAAGTACCTTTATCCTGCTTTTTCGTCTATGGACCATGTCACCTAGTGTCCCAAGCCTTTTCCTTATAAATGTGTAGAATTTACAGTGCTTGGGGCTGTACAAAATATATATATATATATATATATATATATATATATATATATATAGACTTCTATATCCATAGTCTTGTTTTTAACATGTATTCCTATCTGATGTTGCTATCTGTCCGCCATAAAACAGAGCTTTTTAAAAAGTAATTATCAGTTGCAAGTTATGAAAGTCAGGCACAGAATGGGTGTACGCATCCCTGCTGGTTGTAGCATAGTACCAAAAGAGTGGGTAGTAACTAGTTATGTTTACTCAGCTCATTAGGTAAAAGAAAAAGAAAAAAAAAATGCTTTTATAAGTAGTTTTAGTGTATTATTTTCTTTCTTTTACTTGAGTAATGTGAAATATCAATTCTCTTACTGGAGTAAAATTTCCAGCTACTCTGTCCTCTGTAACTTGAGCTGTTTGGAGATCAGGTGACTATACGGTAAACAGTGGAAGTCCTTCAACCTGAACAAATATATAAGGATTTTTTTTTACATATTTAATGTTGAAAAAAGAACAGATTTGAAAAAAGGGTTTCTTCCACATGAATTTGTAAATTTTTTTGTATTTTTGGTTTATATCCATCTTTAAAATATAAGAATTCACACCATAACCTCTGTCTAATTGCATATTTTCTAAGTATTAAATCAGACATTAAGATCCAAATATTAGTACTTGACAAACCATTTTACTAAATATATATTTACTGTTACTTGAGTAATTTCCTGGACGTACACTTTTTACTATTACTTGAATCCATAGAGTAGAAGAAACCTTTGCAAAGAATCCCTTTTTACAGAAAAAGTTTTCACACTCTGCCCAAGGTTATAAAAATTAACATCGGTTTTTCTTTTTTTGATTTTCAGAAACCCCTACGAATCAGCTAAATATGTACTTAAATGTTAAACTTAGAAAAGTATTTTCTACATTTACCATTTAAAGCCAAAGACACAATTTTTTCAATTGCTCTATAATCAATGTGTTTCTAAATAGGCAACCAAAAAAAATGTATATATTGATTAGTAGTTATAACAGTTTTAGGGAAAACAGTAAAAAAAACTAAAGGAAAATGTTACTCCATCTCTTCCGGGGGGGCTATTTTAGGCTTTATATAATTCAAAAGTCTTGTATAGTAAGAGATAATGTTAGAATTACAGTTGGAAATGCATCCAATGCAGATTAAGATTAGGGGTTTGTGTTGGCATTCTTAGCTTTAGGATTAAGTTTAGATTAAATTCACATTGAGGCAGTATAGGCAAATTCTGCACTCAGGGACCAAAGACTTAAAGTACACCACTCACATGTCTGTATCTTCCTCTGTGTGTGTGTGTGTGTGTTTGCTTAGTGTACCTGCCCATTAGCACTCTGCAGACCTCTCCTCTTCTGCTGCGCCTCATTAAAGTCCAGTTAAAGGACACCTCCTCCTCTTCATCCCAGCAACAGATGGACAGACGCAGGGCAATAATATTCCATGGAGTTCCATGAAGGGGCGTCACTGTTTATGTAATTCAGTGAATCTTATTAAAAAGTCGCTCTCCTTCCTTCCTGAACTCAGGGTTAATTAGCTCACTTCCTAGTTGCTGCTGCGCAGAGGCCTCTGAGTGGTCACAGCGGTTGCTAGGGGTGACTGGGCTCGCCCTTGGCTCCTGATGCCTGTTGGGATTGGACTGAGGAGCTGCGACTGAGAAGGAGACAGTGTTTATGAGGTCTGAAAAACAGCAAACAGCATGCAGTTATAGACACAGTTTGATTTGCCCGCTCGCAAGGACAAGGACATGAGCTGCAGGTATAGACAGACCTATTAGGAGACTCCTCACACCAAGAGTTAGAGGCTTTGCTGGTTTCTGTTTGGTTTGGAGCAAAATGTGTTTTTTTCTATATTAGTATATGTGTAAAGATTACAGCTTGAATAAATAAATGTGTTGAAAGTATCCCCAGAAACAAAAATGGGTATTTTCTGCACTGCTTCTCTGTGGAGTTAAATTCTCCCTTGGTTGTTTGAAAGATAGGTTATTGATGCCTTGGAGTTAATAGAAAAGTAGGCTGTGAAGGCTGCCTCTTGCTCCCAACTGCCCTTGAATGTGACACTTATATATCATAGAAATAGCCATGCTACATAGAGTCCATTTGCCTCAGATGAGAGCTGCCAAACTCCATAACTGGGTTGCTGACTGTCTCATGAGTGATAAGCTTTTTGAAATGTGGCCCAACAAGTTTTTTTTTATTTCCAACACATACTTTTAATGTGTTGAAGATGTGTTTCAAACATAGATAACTCATCTTTGTTGCAGCAGAAAGACAGAGTTAATATTTAATGCCTGAAAATATTTTAAAGGGATAGTTATGATTCTTTTCGAGATGAGGTTTTATAAGGTCGGAAGCAATTAATACCTTCTCTGCACATAATTATTGGCACCTTGTTTAGTGCAAATCCAGATTATTTTGATTCTGGATGCTAAAGCTGATGGCTTCTCAGAGAAGGGAGAACACCAGAGCAGACTCTGTGTTACAAGAAAATAAACTATTAATTATAGAACAGAGGTGCATTGGAATGTTATTCAATAAACCTTTACAAATGCTTAGGCTTGCATTGCATATTTCCACAAAAGTAGCTACCAGACTTTTACAGTCAGATTAAAACTTTTTCGATCAATACAAGCATGACTTTTAACCAAATTTTTTTTTTACATTTTAACCATAACCCTTTGACCTGAAGCTTATTACATGTTCTGCTATGATTGTGTGTTTTAGACAGGCGAATCTTTAGTGGTGCAATGCCTCCAACCTTTATTACCTGTAGAAATAATCCTTAACTCCTGTGTAAATAAGCACCCAAATGCAAATGTGATGGTTTCAAGGTTTGAAAACAGCAACAGCTACAATGTTTTAGAGATTAGTTGTTTTAGGACCATACAAACTAACCATTAACCTCAGCCTTTGGGACCAATCTAATCCAGATTTATACCAAATAAAGATGCCAAGAGGGTTATCTACAAAAGATGAGATTAAATATTTATAACATTTTAATCGAACATCACTACAAAAAGCTTGATCTATCCCTTCATTGCACACAAAATATAAATACAAGAACTGATTAATATTTGAAACCATAAGGTGGTTGTATGTATGTAATTAAAAACAAAAGAAATTAAATGCAAAAAGACATAAATAACGTTAAAAATGAAGCTGAGTTGACTAAAGACAAAATTAAGACAAACAACTCCATCCCAGCAAAGTTCAATAAAAGCCACATTTATTTTAATTACAAGCAACTTCCTTTTACGCTAAATATTTTCTTCATTTTTATCCTGAATGTCATATATAATTACATTTTCTGAGTGCATACATTTAAGTTAATATGGGGCCTGTTAAACAAAGTGATTCAAGGCATAAAAGAAAAATGTCTCTCCTTTTTTATAAGAATACTGCTCATCACAAGCATCATCAGTAGTGGTACTGTACTAAAAAGTGCACACGGTCTATTAATACAGCTTCATATAGTACATCAAAATGGAAATTTAAACAGTGGTGCATTTCATACATTCAACATCAAACAAGACAAACCTTTTCAAAGGCGCGGGACTCTCACATCAATGTGGTCTTTTCAAATTATTACACAAACGGTATCGCCTAAATATCATCTTCTATTTTCAGCTAAAGATGATTTCATATCACAAGACTCTCTATAGAGCTTAATGGCACTGGGCAGGTGGGAAGTCAAAAGATACTTCCTCATATGTTATGAATGGGCATAGTTTACATGTGAAATAGGAGGAAGTTGAGCATTACAGAGTATTCAGGATTTATTTAAACAAGGTTTAAAAAAAGTTTTAGTTTATATGTAAGCTGCAGGTGACACCCCTTTTTGTCTTAGATCTGTATTTAATATAAATCCATGTTAGCAGGATGAGTAAAGCTTTACAAGTCGGGACAGAAAACAGAGCAGATTCTGTTTCTTCTTAAAACATCCCAAGTCTCAAAAACGGTGCCAATGCTTTTCTGTTGAGGCTCTAGTTTAATTCAACATTTGAAATTTTTTTTATTTCATTCCTTTACATTACCAATTTATCCTTTTCTAATATAATTTTTAAAGTAAAACCAGAAATTTAAATAGTTAATTATGAGGCAATCAATAGTAAATTAGTTCATAATGCTCAAATTTGATGTTGAATTTTGCTTTATAGCATGTTTGTTATGATAAATCCTTTTAATGTCCTACTTCCATTTATCTTGGTTGATCTCCTCCAGCTGGTCCAGCTGTCTGTCATGAAAATGGAGTGATCATCCCTTGATTAAACCAAATTGACTGAGGGACATCATCATGCTCACTGGTGGTTATTTACTTAAGCCCCAAAAGGTAATTTCTTTAAAGGTTAATTTAATTTAAAAAAAAGAAAAAAAAAGAAAAGAAACAAACCTACCAATAATAATAGTCTTTTATGCAGGTAGAAAGTGTGCCCAGGTGTTTTCAAATATCTTTATGACAAATTAAAATAGACGGTGATGCAAGACCGACGATCTTGTGAAAAACAACAGATCATGCATTGGGTTTTTGCTCAAATTAACTTCCAAAAATAAAAGTACCGTAGTGTTAGAATCAAAACAATGTTTTAGTGAAACCATGAAACTATATTGTACTCCTGGCACAGTTACAGTTACAGTACTCTGACTAGAAACAATTTATATTTACTTCTCCATACCTGCTTAATACAGGATATCTACTGTCTCCGTTTATTATGTATTTGCTTAGTGGCTTTTGTGTAAACAACCATCCAAGGCTAAACAGATGACAGTTTAAAGTTTCATAAAGTAGCATTTTCTTTAACTGCTTTTAAACAGGTTCTGGACCCTTCATGAGCTAACTTCAGCCAGGCCTAACTATTATGGCCTTATGGAAAATGAAAAAAGGAGAGTTATCTGTATACCATATTACTGTAAATATAAATGTTATGGTGCCTTTTTAAAGATCTTCACCTTAAAAAGACTAAGCTGTCTCTACAGTACACTGCAAGAAGTATCTAGAAATAAGTAAACATTTCTTAAATTAAGTGTATTTACCCATAAATTGAGTATGTAAATAAGATGAATAGAAGGAGATTTTTTTACTCTTAAAATAAGATAATTAGATAATATGCACTTGAAATAAGACAATGTAGTTGTTTTTTCTTATTTTAAATATTTATTTAAAAATGGTCTCATTCCATCGGCAAAGTATCTCACTTACCTCCTCAAGACTTTGCTAGATATTGATTTTTTCCCTGTGTATAAAGACCTCTAACCATCAAAGATATCTTAACCCCAAAAAGGGGCAAGTCTTGTCCATTTTGAAATAATAAAGCCAACAATATTTTAAGCAAAAAATAAAAACACTATGTTAATAAAGTCATAAATTATTCAAATACATAAAATGTAAAAACAGCAGCTAATCAGAATATTGAGAGCATTTTTTTTTTAGAAACAAAGGTTTTTATGCAATTATTTTCATCAAGGAGAAAAAACTGAGGACTTTTCTCTCTTTATGGTTTTCTGAGCTAATTATGGATTTAATTTACAACTTTTATCTATTTTTGCTTGCAAACCAAAAACATAATTACATTTATGTAATTCATAACCATTAAAATCAGGAAGAGAGTCGTGATGATGTGACCTACATGTTTTCCCTTAGAGTTTACAGGCCAGTAATTTAACACCATATGACGTCATTGGCAATTTCTCTAAAAACATTTCATAATTGAGAAGTTACTATTATCATTTTATTTGCCACATTACATTTAAAATGGCCAGATTTAATTTGTTATTGGTAGGCAACACGTTGATGGCCGTATAACATTATTGATTGTTATATCGTCTATTAGGATAAATGGTTTTTCCACATATTTTTGTCACTTGCAGCTAAAACCCTTCAAACCGGCAAAATATTCAGAAAAAAGGTCGATTTTGTGTGTGTGTCTGTGGGGGTGGGGTTGGTTCTTTCTGTAGTACGAGCATCTGTTGTAAACTTTGAGATTTAAGCATAAAACCAAGTACAAAAGTCGGAAAACCACTTACTTTGACTAAAAGCAAGATCTTATTGTGGGAAACTGTCCTTGGTCTGACATTTTAGCTGAACAGGAAAATGTAAATACAGTAACAATCAATCTGTTTACTTGATGCTCCAAGCATTGCATCTTAAAGTCCCGTTTCCACAGTGTTAATAAAGCCACATCAGGTCAGCTATTTTGCAGGTTCAATCAAAATGTACCAGAAAGAAAAAAACACCTGTTATCACAGCTAATTCAACATTTACAGTTGTTCAGTTGCATGCACACACTGTACAACAAAGCCTTCCCTTCTCTTCCTGGTGTGACAGAGTTGGCAGTAAACAATGTAAAATGTATTAAAAACTGGCCAAAAACAAAATTAGACTGAGAAATGACTAATGATTATATTAAGCCGAATTTCACATTAGACAAATAAAAGTAAAAAAATATATATATATAATAGCAGCAACACCTAGGCTTAGTTCTGTGAGAACAAAACAGCAAACCAGAAAGCCGCCAGTGCCTCTAGGTTAAATTAGAGTTATACAGTGTTTTATACAGTGAAGCTTTAGTGCAAATAAGGCGGTGTAACATATTCGTCTAAAGATGGAAACCTCAAAGGCTGGGTATGTAAAGGTTTTTTTTGACAGTGCAAGTCGACTGAACTGAAATTCTCGTTCAAGACGAATCAGATCTTGGCACATCAAACCCCTCTGACTGTCACAGCATTATGATAACCAATATGATAAAAAGAAAACTCCTCTGTCTGTGCAATAGTTCAAGTAAGTTATTTCCTTCACATAATTTGTGTTCAGTAACACATCCTGTGGCCGTGCCGAAAGAGAGGACAACATACAGATTAACATACAAATACACAAAAAGACCTATTTACAGGAAACAGTTTTCTGGACAGGACTTCACTCCAAGCTGAGGGGACCTCTACTCACCCATTCAGGCTCAGATTTGATCTAATCCTCCAATTGGTTACAAGTTGGACCAAATTCGACGCAGTCTCATCCTAAATATGTGGTCACAACCTCAACAATGTCCATCTATGAAGCAAAAAGTTAGATCCTTAAAGGGCGGTGTCAAAAACTTGCTCCGACGAGCCTTCCTCTATGTCGTCCTCAGACTGCGATGCCTTGTGGTTGAGCCTCTCTGCTGTTAAGGAGGCAACAAGGTTTGCAGGGAGGCTATCATCACAAAGTTTGGTCTTACTGCTGTCCTGAACAAACTCCTGGATTTCCACAGGTAGTCTGCGAAACTTGTCCTGGTATTCCTGGTCCAGATCACTCTGCAGCTGCAGAAAAAGAACACATTTCCAGTTTAGAATTCATATAAAAGCTTTAAAAAGAATGCTACAGGTTTTAATCTTATATGAGTATACAGCCTATTAATGTATGGTCAGTTAATCAGAGCTACAAAGGTTTGTAGACGTTTCCACACCCTTAAATCTTTTCCCAATAAAACCACAAACTTCTGCTAATTTAAATGCCATTTAACAGGCGTAAAGGGAATATTTTTGTAATATTTTGTTAGCAGGCAAAATTATAAAAAGTGTGCTAAGAATTTGTCTTATTTCATTCTGATTCTGTTAACTTAAAAACTATTTTTATAGTTATTATTTTGACACCTTCAGTGCACGTTTGTTTATATAGAATTAAAGCCAAAAGACATCATGTTTACCACAAGCCATAAAGGAGACATTGACATGTGAAAGACAAATTTTCAACAGATGAGAAAATTGTGACATGCAACCAACTGTGGAAACATTTTTCTACAATCAATGCAAAGTGTTGTTTTACATTTTATTTTTAGCTATAAATCAAATCTCGTCAGCTAAAGAAAAGTTGATTAAATACAGAGGTGTTACGCAGCCTTTTCATAAAACACAACTCATGGTTTTAGTTAAATATCTGCGGTAGACAGCAGCCAAAAGTTGATTTGTATTTTTAAGCTCTAAAACAACAAAACATAAAACGTTTCATAAAAAGGGAAGTGTAGATTTTCCCCTACAGGATATTATTTAATGTGTAAAAGTAATAAAGAACAAAACACAGAAAAAAACTCATTACTTCTAAGAAAAATTGACCTAAAATCAATATTTAGAACATTTAATATCATTCTTTTGTGAAAATTAAATTCAAGTTTTCTTCAAAATACCTGCCGTAATTAAGGGTTTCTTTATATATTTTATATAAATATGTGTAGATCAGGTCCTGCAAGCTAAAACTGATCCATACTTAAAGATTCCAGAAAAAGCTGCCAAGTTTAAATCTAATGATGCCGACCTGTGTTCTCTTTGCACCCATCTGTTACACACTCCCTCCTGTCTTAGTAATAGAAAGACGATGTTTTCCTCAAGGCACAGACGCCCCCAATGATTACAGATGACAGGATTCTATTCATTTCATTGTGAGCCAATAATTGCCGTAATGCTGATTTCTGTTTAACTACCCAGCAAGCTCCCAGGGGAGGGCAGTAATTAAAAGAAAACGCTCTTAACGTGAATGGTGTCAGAGTCTCCCAGCTCACTCCAGCATTCTGAAGAATCAAAAATACCTGCATTTCCTTACAGGAGTTTTACAAGATCCACTTACCTACCCTGAGACCAATAACAGTCCCAGTTAAATAAAGATTTCAAAAATGATCACAATCTTAAACAAAAATAACTCGGGGCTTATAAAACTGACAAAAAGAAAAACAACCATCCCTAACAAGACATTTACTTCAAGACATTTTGCAAAACTTCAAGCTCCCAGATTAGGAATAGATTGTTATTGTCCCAACATGCCTATCGTCCCCACCGGAGGATCTTTAAAGATGTGGATGTGTGGGTTTACTATAGATCTGTCCTTATTGGGATGAATAAGAGCAAAACCAGGCCTTCTTGTCCAACATCAGTGTCTGATCTCACAAATGTTGGCGGCGCCTGTAACATTCAGGATGTTTGGTTATAATTGTGACATTTCGTTGTTTGCGGAGAGTCAGACGAAGAAGGCAGCCTTTGGTGAATTTACTTGACAGAGTCGGCTTTAGGGAAGTGGATACGACAAACGATAGTCTAATCAGGGCTTACAAATGCAGGAAACAATGACAGACGTTGAGGTTCATTACACTGCTAAGCAGAATCATCACTGAAAATCGTGTGGCATGGTAGGGAAGCTAGTATTTTAATAAATGGCTGAAATGTCATGATTACAGAAGCAGAGGCGTAGCCAGAAATCATTTAAAAGGGTGGCCTGGCAATAACCAATATACACCGAGGGGTGGCTGAAAGCCGATAGGCGCCAGAACCTCACGGTAATTCTACACTATTCCAACAGGACAATCAATGAGCAAACCATCCATATTTTCTAAATAAAGAAAAACTATACTTTCCTACAGCCTTTGCTAACAAATAGAGATATATATTTAAACATCCGTAATTTCTCGATAAAAGTTATGGTTGATAATACTCAGTCTTGAGTTCTGGGGCGTAAATCAATCATCATTGTCATTACTTACCTACTTGTATCAATAAACATTCTGCATAAAATTGATATTTTTACAAGTACTATTATCTACATAAGTTTTTATTAAAATTGTTATTTATCTATGATTTCACTGAAGACTCCTAGATGACTTGCAGAGACACATGATTTACCCTTTACCCCATAAAACACAAAATCTAGTTCTGAAAAGAGCATGAACTTATCTTTAATGTTAGTATATTGATGTGTATAGTTAACCACAAAAAAATTTTATGTTTTGAATATTCCACTTGAGAGTATTACTGCTGCCATCATCTGTATTAGAGGGAAAAAATGGTAGGGGTGGCCAATGATTTGCTAAGGGTGGTCATGGCCATCCCCCGTCTCCATCTAGCTCCGCCCCTGTACAGAGGCTGACTGTAAGGAGATGACGCGGTCTGCTCATACGTTCTTTATTATCTGAGAACCGAGTCAGAACTGAACCGCGCCACACCCTACTGATGGACTAGTACCATGTTAGCGTTGTTCGGTTGTGTCTGGCACAGTCCGGTTCAGTTGTGCGTGCCATTTACACTTAACAGTTAACTCGTTTACTGTGCTCGGACCGATCTCAGCATGGTTTCAAAAAGGTAGTGTAACTGGGGATACTATGAACAGGCCAAGCAGAAGAGCTAAAGCTATTGTAGCTCCAAGTTTTCCCTCTATCATATTAAACCCCATGAATAAAAAATAGGACGTCATTCAACTTCATGTTAGTCAGACAGACAGGCCACAATGTTAGCCAGTTCACTGTATTTCCCCATTGAAAGGACAGATCAAATGGACAACATATAAAAGCTGTTCACTGGGCTATGGAAATTCTATTACAACTAAACAGTTGGTAATTAGTAGTAATGGCTCCATTTCCCATTTTGCTGGCAGACGCTCAAATTTTCTCTACTTGCATAAAAATGGATGCTAAAACTGCATTTTTAAAGCTCCATAGGACATTGGACTGTTTCCCATCACTCTTATTTTTTGATAGATCTATCTGTCTTAGTATATGATGCAGTGCAATATTTTAAAGTGCAGGCAGTAAAATTTAATGAGGCAGATGATTCAAACACATACAGTAAGTGATGTAGGTAGACTGCCTTTGACTTAAGGCAACTCCTGAAGAATGTCTCCCTGAAATGTTGGAGCAGCAGCTCACAGCAGGGTCTCATCAAACCCCCACCAAGCACCGCATTTCAAGGTCACCTTCTCCAAAGCATGTCCTCCTTCTCTCATGCCTCTCTACCTCTCTCTTTTATGTCCTTCTGAGCTTCAAAGAACGGACATATATCACGTCAAATCCAGTCGGCTGGAGACTTCCGGTGACTCCAACATGGAGGCAGCATAGAGTGCGAGCTCCCGACCGAAGTTTTTTTTTTTTCAGCCCTTTCTTGTCAATTAAGGAACGAAAAACAGATAAACACTAACCGATATAGGGCGTTTAATTATGTCAAAAGGGAAAAGCGCCAGAAAATCTCAAAAATCGGACCGACACGACAGAGCGAGCCCCGAAACGGTGAAGCTAGATGCAGAGCTAGCTACCCTGGACAGAGAGCCAAAACGTACAGCAGAGGGCGCGGAATCAAGCCTGAAAAGTCGAGACGACGAGTCCCAGTCTCCCCTGAATATGGCAAATTTGGAAACGATTCTGACCGAGCTGCGGGACTTTCGGCAGGAAAACTCAGAGAACCTCAAAGAAATAAAGAACGAGATTAAAGTCGCCAACAACAGAATCGACCATGCCGAAAACCGGATTCAGGAAGCGGAGGACCGTCTGCAGCTTGTGGAGCGGGCGTCTGTGGAGCTGATTGAGTTACAGAAACGCCTGGAGGCACGACTCGTGGACCAGGAGGGACGTTCGAGGAGAGACAATATTAGGATCCATGGTCTCAAAGAGGGAGCGGAGGACGGCGCGGGGTCAGTGGCGGATTTTATTGAGAGCCTTTTGAGAGAAAAGCTGGAGTTGCCGCCATCGCTTCCCATCCAGATAGAGAGAGCTCACCGGGCTCTGGCGGTGCGTCCCTCCCCGGGAACGCGAGTGAGGTCCGTCGTGGTAAAGTTTACAAGCTTCAGAATTAAAGAAGAGATCCTGAAAAAAGCATGGGAGAAGAAGGGATTTCTGTACGAGGGAAATAAAGTGTTTCTGGACCATGATTATGCTCCGGAGGTGCTAAAGAAACGGAGGGAATACGCAGAGGCCAAAAGAGTTTTGAGAGAGAAAAATATAAGGTTCCAGACACCATTCCCAGCCAAAATGCGTGTGTTCTACGAGGGAGAAACGAGAGTCTACAACTCAGCAGAGGAGGCGACTAAGGATATGGCAGAGAGGGGACTCCCTGTGTCAGTGATAAAACCAACGGAGGGCAGCCTGACATGGAAGACCAGCGGAGCCCAGAAGGGATCAACAACTAAAGACGCGTTGCCTGGATACAAACAACGCTTGCAGTCTTTTAGGAGAGGTCAGGATTAGGAATGAACATCTGTAAGGTAAAAGTGGTGTTACTCCGTTTCATGGCTGGGAATATTGATCCAAGTTATAAAAAAGTAAAAAAAAGAAAAAAACTGTTTAAAGATTTTTGTTGAAAAACTTTGATTCTCGTGTTTGAGTTAAAAGGATGAACCAGGATGAATACAATTCGGGCTCCTTCTCTTTTTTTTTTTTTTTTTTTTTTCCTGACTGTTCGAGGTAATTTTCCCTGTTATAAATAAATGGTCGGGGCATTCCCACAGGTTAAGCACTTTTTTTCTTTATATATGTGTTTGAGCACTATTGTTTGGTTTTTGATCTATGAAA